TTCCTAAAACCAGACTGTTGTGGCATTAATATTTTATTAGTTTCTAAATATTCTATTAGTTGTTTTTTAACTACCGTTTGAAGAATTTTTTCATCACTAGGCAACGTATTAATTGGTCTCATCTCGTCGGCTCTGATTGTGTTCTTGACTTTCTCAATTGGCACAACAATAGATGTTTTCCAGTGATCAGGAACAACACCATATTTTAGGCTTTCATTAATTAACTGCGTGTAAAAGTACCCTGTATATGTTATAGAGTCTTTTATGACTCCCTCAGATAAAATAGTTTTTTTCCTCCAATTTTATTTTTAAAACCACTGACAGTTTCAAGCACTTCATCGGTTTCGATTTCTATAAATTTAAAGTTATGTGTGCAATTTGGAGTCGTAAAGGATTATTTTTTACCAGGTTCTATATTTGAGGTAATTTCAATAATGCTGTCAATAAAGTAGTTATTTAGTGATTGTGCAATCTCATTTTCCGTTGTGTACAAGTTGTTGTGAATTAACACTTATTAATGGCGTTTATTTCCTTTGACATACTTATGCAATTTTTTAGATGCTTCCACATTGATTTGCTATCTCAAATATTAACCGTTATTTTATGCTCCAAGTATTTAACCTTTTTAACCTTTACCATCCTCTTGTATCTACGTTTGATTGTATTATAGTCACTCCAGGCCCCTGTTTCTAATGCTATCCTGTAAAGATTATACTTTTGTTTATTAAGGTTTGCTAATTCAGCATCATACCACTTGTTCATGAGCTTAAGCCTTATTTCTTTAGTGTATGTTAGAATGCCCATTGAATGCGACAAGACATTAGTTAAAAATTTCGATTTATCTTCGATGCTTAATTTCGAAAAATCCCTGTAATTGTATTGCCTCAGTTGGTGAAGAAGATTATCACTTGTGTAATTTTCCCAAGATATAATAAATTTGTTTGCTCTCATTTTATATATTTTCTCCAACTCGATCTTGACATAAATTGTCTCATGATCGCAGATCCGATGCATATCCATTCTTTGACACGAAATGTTTTTGCTATTGGTAAATAATAAATCAATCATGGTTTCGACCTCTCCCGATTTCCTAGTATAAAAATTAATTTTCTGAACCATTGAGAAGGACTGAAATAACTCTACCAATTTTTTACTGTACGTTGTAGCTTTATATAGATTTATATTGAAGTCTCCAATAAATACAGTATTATCATCTAGGCAAGTATTGTTTAAAATTTCACTGAGGCAGCTGATAAAGTCAGCATTGCTAGAATTTGGCGAGTGATATATTACCCCTATTTGGTATTTCGGGGTAACATTTCCAATTTTTAAAAGAAGACACCAAATATTTTTATCCCACGAGTAATTAACGAGAGTTTCATATTTAATTGAGTGATGGACGTAAATTAAAACACCGCCTGTGTGTCTACTATTCGAGTTGCATCTAATTAGGGTGTAGGTTTCTACCTGTATTTCGTGGTTTGTAATGTCTTCGGTCAAACAGGTTTCTGAACATAGCACCAAATGGGGCTTACAAATTTCTATTAGTTTCTCAAGTTCACACTTATTAGCTGTAATACTGTTTATGTTTAAATAAATGATATTCAATTCATGAATACTTCGTTGCTAAACTTTAGTTTTACTTTTGGCTTGAACGTATTTTTGGTATGCAGGGCAATCCAAACTGAATGCTGAGTGATTTACATTAACATCTATTACTTTTTTCTGAACAAGTTCACAACAATTTACACACCTTATTATATCGGAGCCGCAATCCTTAACATCGTGATTTCCAGCACATCTACTACATGCCTTTTTATTTGTACAATCACTTGACTTGTGCTTATAACCCAAACATTTAAAGCATCTCATAATGTTTAGATGCTCAAATACCATGCAAGTGTCCCATTCGATATTTACTTTTTTACGTTTCAAGACACTTTCATAGGTTAAAGCATCTGTTTCAACTAGAATGTTGAAGCTTTCTTCTCTTCGCGTTCTATTTTCGTATATTTTCAGTACTTTCAACTCCTTTCCCAAGAACTCATCATTTTGCTTAGTAAGACATTCTATTATGCGATCATTATTTATTTTTTCGGTTAACCCAACTATTTTCAGTATCTTTTTTATTTCCTCTTTTCCTTTAGCTTTCTGGGCTGCCTGGAACTCCGTTCCAATACTATCTCTTATTTTTTGATGCACTTTTTCGCAAGTATCTTTATTTTTACATTCTAAAACTATTGCCCCTCTATTAATTTCTTTCACAGTCTTAACAAGACCGTCGGTGGGTTCGATTACCTTTTTCAGCACCTCTTTTGTTTCCTTAACGTTTTTGTTTTTGTTTAAGGGCTTTATAACAATTTTATTTTCATTTGTTTTGACAGCTTGGGCATATGATATTGGGGCATTTTCTTTACTAATTACTGGCTGAATGTTTTTTACCAAGTCATTACATTTTTGCAGTTCGCTAGAAATTTCCTTAATGATTTAATTTTCATAGCATAAATTCTCACTCCAATGTTATGTTCCAGAAATGTATTAAAGTCTGAAACAATACTCGTTTTTATTTGCGTACATTTGTTGTTAATCAGTTGCTCCAAAACTTGTTTTACATCAGCCGCCTTCAACTTAGACTGCTCACATTTACTTATTAAATGTTTGATTTCGATAAATTTCGTATTCGTATCAGATAAAGTACACTGATTACAAAACCATTTCAAATTAATATTTTCCGTGATTATTTTAATTTCATTCCTTTTAATATTGCTACATTTTAGACAGAAATTATAGCCACACCCACCAGAGCATGTTATCATTTCATCTAATTGAAACAATTTGGCAGTACATTCTTTACATTCTACTGTTGGCATTTTGCCACTTTTTACTGTGGCAATATACCCTAAGTTAACGTATGGCAATAATATATACTAACCACAATACACAAGTTTATGGCAATTTCAATAATTTTATGATATGAGCAATTGCTACTATAACCTAAGCGTAAAACTAACTTGGCAGCACTCTGTTTCCAGCTGATCAGCTGTTTCGATTCCAAGAAGTAGTTGACGTTTGTTGATATGGAATGATGAGCAAAGGGCATCAATTGCGAATATGATGGCAAAGGACAGAGTAACAAATGAGAGAATCTGAACAGAGGAGCGCCCTCGGGTACGCAAAGCAAAACCAAAAGGGATGGAGATTAATCCGAATTGTCTTGGATTTAGCGGCTCCAATGCTCTTTTGCGGAGGTGTCCAAAGCAGATCTGCTGCAGATTCCCAATACCAACAATTGCAGCTTGACTTAGTTTTGTTAACTCAGCTATCGCCGCAGCAAAAACAACAACAGCAAAACAAACTATTTTATTTATGCAACTTTTTGTTCGCTTATTTGTTTTGTTTGTATGTTTATTTATGCGCCACTCACTTCAGTTGATTCAGCTTGCACTTAAATGGTACTGTTGGACATAAAATGTATAAAATAAAATTCTTTTAACTATTTAAAATGAAAATATCTAGCGCGAGCGCAAAACACACCTCTGTTCCGTTTACTATCCGTTCCGTATCTTTGTGATCTATCATTGAGGTATGAAGAGATCCAACGTAGAAAATAAGTTGAAGACCAAGAAGATCAAGTTTATAGATCTTTAAGAGACAAATTAAATAAGGTTGTTAACGGCTCATAGTGATAATCAGCACAATTTATAAGAAAACAAGTGGGGATCTGGTCAGGACCATAACTAAAATACTGCTTTAAGGACTTCAGGTAAACTAATACATCATCGGGAGATATTATTGGGGTATGTATTGAGTTAATTGGACTCAAAGAGCTGACATTTTTCGTGAGGTACTTAAGCGGGTTTTACTGTACTAAAAAGGTCCGTACTTAGCTTTATACATTGAAATAAGCAAAATAAGCATGATCGTTAAAATTAAGCTTGGAAACCCTGAATAAGCAAAATAAGAAATTCTAAGCAAAAGCTTAAACTTTTCGGCCTTGCACATGATTAACCCAATTACTATCACTGTTCTTGTATGGTAGTGCTTCGCCGGTTAAAAAAATGATTCCGTAGTACCATGAGTGAAGAAAGACTGATAGGTCTAGCACTTTTATACGTACACTTAGCGCCAGTTTTTCAATGCACGGTTGTGGTTTAAATGCGCGAGCTGGCTGGTTTAAACTAAGATTGGCCAATCAAATGTCAGCCAGCTATTGAATTTAAATTCAGTTTACGTAATCTAAGTTGAAACTGCCACTGAAAAACTGGCCCTTAGATATTGAAACTGACACTGAACGGATAATACAAAGATTCCGTATAGGAAAGCGCCAAATTTACTTTGCAATTTAAATTATTATAATCAAAATTCCAAATAAATTGTTAAGTTACTTAATTACATCCTTCATTTAAGAAACATTGTAAGCAAAAAATAAGTATTTATATATACATATTAACATACTATATACTGCTTTAATAAACCCAAAGCATAACTCTTTATCTTGTTCTTTTTACAAAATAGTATACATAATTGTTTTATTACATAGACTCTGTAAATGGACCTTGTACCAAATTCACAACATGAAACTTACTTAAATTAAAATTATATCACAAAACATTTTACTTCGTACTTCATCATAATTACAATAATCTTTATTTGCGTGAAAAATAAATGAGGGTTCAAGCAGCTTGGATGCTTGTAGGTCATATAGCTTCGATTGCTCACTCCGCTGTGAATCAAGTTAGATACTTGTAATTTAACGTTAATTGACAAGTTGATTCCAATCGCTCCTCTCTAAATCAAATCCTGTATCCGCCACCGCCTCGGCTACGGTAGCCGCAGGTAGCCGATAAGGAGGCTGTGGTATAACTTTCACTTTTTACTGCATGTTTGGCATGAATATGGCCACCGCCAAAGTGTAGTGAAAAGTCTAAAAATTATAACTTCAACATGACTCAATTTATTCTGCGCATGAAAATTTATTAATATTTTTTCCTTTTTTACAGGCGAATAAAATTGGTCTCTCGCCATTCTTCTGTCACAATGGGGATCCGCTGACGACACCACCACCTGCGCACTGTGGCATACCTCCATATCAGTTGGACCCAAAAGCCATGGGTAAGTACTTGAACTAACTTTTGAAAATAAAGTTATGAACATGGAAACCTGATTTAAATAATTGTTTGCCGGATGATAATTCTCCTAAAAAAGATTTTTCAGGATGCCTGCTCATTTTACTAACTTCGGCAAAAAAAAAATAAAAAACTGATTTGCAATATCAATGCACTTGCACACAGATCCAAAATCATCTAATAAAATAGAATATTTTTTAAGCGAATAGGAAAATTAACAGGACAACTATAAGAAACCGCTATGCAAATTTTTTGGTTTATCCGCTGTCCCTTCGCCCACAAATAATTCAATATGATAAAAAACTACGCTTGACGCTTACTTATTTCTTGGCCGAGTTTTTCCTCCAATTTGTGGTGTGGGCCTTGATGTTGTCACACAATAGGGAAGGACCTACAGTTTTATGACGACTCCGAACGGCAAATGGCTTTGAGATAAGAAGCTGTTTTCACGACAGAAATATTCTGAAAGGTTTGCCATTGTCTGTCGAGTTCGACTGATAATAGAAAAAGCCTTTTTTATGTTTCCCGGATCAGAGATCGAACTCTGGACCTACCGAGTGGTAGTGCACACTTTGAACCACTTGACCAGGGCGACCGCAAAATCAATGCGATACTTTTTTTTATTTTAAAATGGCCGCGTTCCTTCTGAAAAGGCATCTGTGAAATGAATAATAAAGATAAAACCCAAGAAAAAAATAATAAATTAATTTGCATGTTGCCTGCAGTGGAATTCGAACCCAGACCCTCTCTGGATATCAGCAAATTGTGGCAAGCATCTTTGCACACTCACCCAGTGGGAAAAGGTAATGTGTGGTAATGCATAAATTCATGTATAGGCCTCATAGTCTATACATTATGTCGTGGATGAATCTTAACACAGTGCATGACCTAGGAAAGTAATGTGTCGCATGTTGCTTTACGAAACTATAAATAGAATCTATAAATAGTATAAATAAAATAAATAAAGTCCATGCTCCAGGTTTTGAACCCATGATCAACAACACGGCAGTCGAACACGCATCCATTTCGGCTACAGCAGCTGTTGAAATAACGTGAGAAAAAGACATACTTGAGTTAGTTATCAAAGTTTTTGTTTTGCTTGTGGCTTCAAAACCACGCATCATCCGCTCGCTTACATTGCGATGCATCTTTTCGTTCACCCGTAGTTGTTAATCTTTTTTTGGTATAAAAAGGTAATGCATTCCCCATTTTCCCACTGCACAGCTACAGCCGGACATATATGTAGATGTGCTTTCAAGTTTTGAATTTCCATCAACACCGCAGCACGCGATAAACATGCACTATGCATGTATGGATGTGTGTTGCCACCAGTGTTTCCACTGCCGTAGCCTTTAAAGTATCCATAATAAATCAAAACTGTATCCAAATGTATCCGCCGAATTGGAAGTTATAAGCTCTTAAGTAGTTATATAGTTAGAACAACAATTTTACCTAATTTCATGATTTTTGTCCCTATTTTTAGTACAGTGAAGTTATAGTTAAAAATTAGTCATCGGCATGGTTGCCAGTTTCCTTTGAATGCTAGGAGAAGGGTTGGTAGGGATGTAAAAGTTCATTCGCGGGACCCGGAAATTGGGGAAACATCGCCATTTTTTTAAAGATAAATATCTCAATATTATAGTTATATACTACAGGTCGGAAAACTTTTTAAAATTTGCGAACTACTTGGTGTCATTAAATGCACTTTCATGTAGCTAAAAATTTATATTTACAAAGTGACAAGAATAAAGGAAAATTTCTTTTTGGAGGATGAGCAACCAACTGTTAAAAATGAAATGTTATAACATCACGTACATAAATAAAAAAAACTTCCTTCAACTGCCGAATACTTATGGAAAATGTATCCAAATTTACACTGAGGAAAAAAAGTATCCCTCAAAATTTTAGGCCGAATACTTATGGAAAAAGGTATCAAAATTTACACAGAGGAAAAAAAGTATCCATCAAATTTAAGGCGAAAGTGTATCCATTTGGATACATATGTATCAAAACGGCAACACTGGTGGTCACCGCTCTGCATGCTGGGGGTGCGTATGTACACTTACATGTACATACTAAGATGTGAACAGTCAAATACGTGCGTAATAAATTTTTGTATGAAAATATTATTTTTAAATACGAATATTTTTAAACGATGATCAAATATAAAGTATTCATATTTACTATGCATTATTTACCTCAGTGTAGTGATGTTACTTAAAAGTATATATTCTACCATGTACTGAGTATTTTTTGTACTTCGATACGCATACACAAGCACGGTTGGCGCTTTGGTCCAAATGGACCAAACTTGGTCCGTTTTATTTCGTTTGGTCCATTGGTCCAATTCTTTTTAAAATGGTCCATTTCACAAGGCTTTGGCTAGGTTATTATCACCCTTTCACTTCATGAAATAGATTCGCGTTTTCAATTTTTCTATTTAATAGATGAATATTTCGCCCTATGTTGAATATCGTCATCGTCGGTAAAAGTGACGACGGCCATCGTCAGCCATGTTACTGATGCGCTGACGATCGTCGACAATGACAATGACGATATTCAGCATAGAGAGAGCAACACTTGCTAAAAGTGTGAACTCGCCTTGCCACTGAAAATCAAATATGGCATGGCTAATCATCTGTCAAAGCACGCTTCAAAAAATATCGCGGTTTCTTGCTAATTTCAGTTAAGCTTGCTATACAGTTCAATGCGAGCGTGAGCGTGAACGTTCGCAAAGGCAAAGAATTCCATTTGTAGTCTTATGGACGCTCACACACATCTGTCAAAACTTGTCGTTCACATGCGAATGCTTTGCGTACGGACACATTTATGCATTTTAAATTAGTTTTTACTGTATAATTCTGAAAGATATTTTAATTCTCTATCTTTTGATGTATCAACTATTGCAAAAATTTAAGTAATAACGAAGATATTGGTCAAAATAAAAAGCTCACGTTCACGCTCGCATTGAACTGCATATCAGGCTTTATTCGGTGACTAATATTAAAGTGCCTTGCAAACATATGGAAAGGTAGCAAAACTTTAATCATAGCATTTAGCACATGGAAATAATATTCTATTTCAATCGAAAAGATATTAAATATCTTGAAATTATTACACCACATAAAATTATTAATTTGGCATGTTGCTGTGAGTGGTCGTGTTTTTGTAGCGCTGTGTTAAATCACGTTTTTAATAGTAATTTCCGGGTATTAATTGCATTTAATTGCAATTGCTAAGACTTTGTGCCAATACCAGTGCTGTGGCTGATCATTGCTTCAAGTTTTACATTATATTTCATACCTCCAAATATGTTTATTCAGCAAACACAAACATGCAAAACCTAAGAAAAAGTGCCCGAAATATTTCCTCTCCACATCAAACTCCAATACAAACCAAAGACCATAACAGTCCAACAACGATCAGTTTGTTTGAGAAACTCGAAGCGAAATTAGAAGCATACACGAAGAGCATAATAGCAAAAATAAACGAAAGTGAAGAGCGTGTAATGCAAAAAATCAGTGAAATTCCAGCTGTATTTGCTAACCTCAAATCAACAGTGAAAATAATGGATGATAGAGTGAGCGCGCTAGAGCAGCAGCGAGGCGAAAATGGAGAACAAAATAAAAATGTTCTCACATTATGTCAGCACGTTGATGAACTGGAGAACGCGTTAGTGTCAACAGATGTAATTATGTATGGTGTCCCGCAAGTTGAAGAGGAGAATTTAGGTTCGATATTCTCTCAACTATGCAAAACAATTAAACTTTCCCCGCTTACCATCCGCTCTTCTTTTCGACTGCGCAATAACGCTAGCAGTAACAGCAAGCCCTCCCTTATTATTTTCAAACTAAATTCAGCATATGACCGCTCACTTTTGTTTAAGGCGATTGCTGATTTCTTTAAACCCAGCCGTAAATCGCTAACTCTCGACGATATAGGGATCAATGCTGAGGGGAAGTTTTTCGTCCACGAATGTTTAACGAAGAAGAGTCGTGAATTAATACATTATGCAACTAAGCTAAAGAAGCAAAAACGTCTGACGAGTGCATTTACGATTCGAGGGAACATTTATGTGAGAAAACATCCCGGCGGTGAAGCAGTTAGAGTACTGGATTTTAAAAGCGTCGATCGCCTCGCAGCTGCTATTTAAACAATAAGAATGAGAATCAAAATTAGAATGTTAAGCAAACTCGTTTCGCTGTTAGATGTAAAAAATTTTAAGATATTCTCTGTCTGTCTCTTGCCTGCCTTCGTTCTTTTTCTATTTATTCTCTTTTCTTCCTACACTCTCTTTGTAAATAGCCGTTTGCAAGCATCACTTGCATGTAACTGGTATGAACAGTGACGTTAGTGTGCGCACTAACAAAGATAGTTTGGGGCTAGCTCTTAAATTAACGGCCGAATACCATGATGGGCTCAATATTTGTCACCTTAATGCCAGAAGTCTAACAGTAGATAAACTTGAATATCTAAACTATATTTTTCATAATCTGAAAATTGATGTGATTTGTGTAATCGAGACTTGGTTCAAACCAGACATTAAAAATTCGGTCTAAGCTCTGTGCGATTTTGCAATGGTAAGAAATGACAGATCGACTGGTTGCCGAGGTGGCGGAATAGCCATTTATTATAAAGCTAGTTTCAATTGCAGACTTTTGTATAAGTCCTCCCGCTCTGATACTGTTGAAAGTATATTTGTTGAATTCAGTGATAACGTACAAAAGTTCCTTGTTGTGTGTGTCTACAATCCCCAAAAATGTAATGGTCTGACTTTTCTATTCACTAAAATAAATGAGATGTCCTTGAGCTATGTGAATGTCCTCATATGTGGTGATTTTAATGTAGATATTTTAATAAACAACACCAGATCAAAGAATTTGTTAAATAACTTTAACGATAGTGGTATTACCGTCGCTAATAAATATGCAACTCGCTTTGCACCGCACTGGAGTTTTTACCTTGGGAGCGTTCGTCGAAGCGGCT